TTGGTTACAAATTGTGGTTATATGCGGAATCGATATCGGATGTTTGAAAATCAATTGAGTATTTCAATTCAATTTATTAGAATGCATTTACGTAACACTATATGTGCCTTAAATACATACAGACGGTAGCTTAAGTGCATTAGGGTGGAACTTAAGCAACACAAAGCAAAAATAAAWATAAATTAAAAATTGTCTTCAAAAAAATATTAATGAAATAAAATATTGTATGTAATAATTTTGTTCGCATACTTTTTCAGTTTTGATTAATTTTCGCATTAAAGATAACTTTGGAATGAAACTTGAATGTTATTTCTCACTATTATTGCATACATTCAAGGTTACTCATACGCCATGTTGGGCCTTTAATTGAGGCATAACCTGAACAGGTTATATAAAGTTTACCACTATAATTGTAACCTTATAAAGCATATACATAAAATATCAGCATTAGGAGCTAAGTCGTTTGAGCCATGTTTGTTTGTGTTTTCGTCAGCCACCATCAACACAGCTTTGTTTGCTCGTCAGCCTGTTCGTCTATAACATATCGCTTTGAAATTTTGCAGCCGTCCTCTCCTCACCAAGAAGCTGCGCATTTGCCGATATCGGATCACTATAGCATATAGCTCCCATACAAATCCAACGCTTGGAATCAACTGCTTGTGGGGAAAACTTTTTTATTTGACGAGAAAACTTCATCAAATTCAACATGAGTTATTGCCTAAGGTAACGTTACAATCACGGAAGAAATTGTTCAGATCCGATCACTACAGCATATAGCTGTCATACAAACTGAACACTCGTAATGAAGTGGTTGAGGGGAAAGCATTTGTATTTGACGAGATGTCTTATTCAAATTTGGCATGAGTTATTTTGCAAGAGAGCGCAGCAATTTTCGAAGAAATTTTTCAGATCGGGACTTTGCAGCGTATAGCTGCCATACAAATTAAGTTCTTGTAAGGAATATTTCGTATTTGTTAAGTTTATTGTAGGTTAGGTCAATCGAAGATTACAGTGTTTTCTAGGTTTCAATTTTTTTATTCCTTTTCACTAAATATTTTTAAGTAGCTATCTATATGGGAAAATAATTTTTATATCATTGTTTTATTGAAAACATTTGATGTTACTCATACGCAGTGGTTGCCTTTTGATATATTCGTTCGCAAGGGTAGGAAACATGCGTTTTTATTGTTTTCTTGATATTTCCGTTAAGCAACCACAATTGACTCAGAGAATAATATCTATTAATATATCCAAAATTGAGCACAACATGTGCATTAAGGGGTTATAAGAGTATATAGTTGGATGGCCGAAAAAATCGAATTTTCCAGATTTTTATTTTGAGAAAATCTTTAAATTTATGGATACAAAAATTTGAACACATATTACGGTACCTTTGAATATCATATTTATTTGGAAAGAAACTATAGCTGATGTCTGGGAGCTC